CCAAATGTCAACATGTGAGTCGTCAGTGTGACGATTCGTTGTGGCGACCCCTAAACGAGAAAAGCCAAAAGTAACTTTCTATTTTGACTGTGTCACTGCCTTTGCTTCTCCTGAGGCTGCTCTATATGGAGATAAAATACTATCAAAAATGTTACAAATGCGTGTTTAACGTTTTGTCTGTAACAAGCGATTTGTGTGTGTGTGTCATGAGGATCACAAATGCGTGCTGCGCAATCTGCACGTATAAAGCCATTTGTGTGTGTGTGTCATGCTGTTCACAAATGCATGCTGTACAAACTGCACATAAAACACATTTTACAAATGCTTAACATCAATTTTTTGTGTGCAGTTCTTTAGAAAGTACTACACATTGTTACCTACGCATGCATGGATTGTCTAACACACATGAATCACCTTCCGCGCACACACGGATTTTTGTGAGTGTTTTTCCGCACTCTCAAAAGTCCACGATCCACGAATGCACGGTGCGTTTAAGGACCCGTGGAAAACTCGGACATCTGAGTTTCCAAACCTGTTTCCCAAACAAAAGTATTTACACAGTGCTATTCCTGCGCCACAAAATGGAGCTTCTTCTCGCTGAAGTTACCGCCATGAAGCAAGCTGCTCACCTGCAAGCCGAAGCTAGCGACGGGCTGCAGTTCATTGCGGTGGATATAAACAGGCGTGTGTGTGTGCTGGAAGCATGCGCAGACTATGATGGCGTGAGTTTGGACTCAGCGGAGGCTAACAATGCTAATCCTTCGACAGACGAGCAGTTGGATGTGGTCTGAGGGACAGGCACCTCCTAATGTGGACAGGGCTACCTTAATGGAGGGCTCTGGAGAGACACCATCGCTACCCGAATCACAGACGTGGAGTTTGGTTGCGAAACTGGGTCAACGTCAGCTAAAGAAGCTGGTTGTTGGTAAGCCTGCCTCTCGCGTAGGTTCAACCTTCGCCGGCCAGAGGAAACCTGGCAAATCTGTCGTGGGCACAGGAGCAGCTGGAAATATTAAGATGATCAAAACTAGTTGGTTAATGTTTTTGCATCTAGATTTTCACCTAATGTGGAAGCTGAAGTCTTACAGGCCCATTTAAAAGATAAACTTGGGCGTGATGTTGTGTGTCACAAAATTGCTACAGGTAACACCAGGTATTCAAAGTATCTGCTGAGTGTAATGTAGTAGATAACATGTACAACCCAGAGTTATGGCCTGAGGGTACCCTTGTAAGGCGCTGTTATGAGCCGCGTAGACTTGTTAGTGGTGCTCACGCTGCTCTTTCTACTCGAGCAAAGCTCTCTCCTGGTGTTGATGCAAGCACAAGGCAATAACTAATTATGGATCTTAAAGTAATATCTTACAACTGTCGTGGCCTGCGCTTAAGTCAGAGCGTGGAGGATAAAGCTCGCCACACTGTTGTTGACAAGTGGCTGGAACAATGTGACATTTTGTGTCTACAAGAAACTTTTCTTGCTAAACAGGACATAAATGATCTCAACTCCATTGATGATAGATTCATTGGCGCTGGTGAGTCAACTACGGACTTTGGGCTCGGTATCAAGCGAGGAAGAATCCCTGGAGGTGTGGCCATCTTGTGGGCTAAGAGGTTGGACTCATTGGTTAGTGTAGTCAGGCTAGATGTGGATTGGTGTATTGCATTACGCCTGACTTTAGCCAGCAAAGAATTTGTGATCTTAAATGTGTATGCCCCGTATGAATGCAGCCAAAACAAAGAGGAGTATTTGAATAAGATGGGTTTTATTGGTTCCTTTATTCAGAGTTACGGGTCTACAAGTGTATATATTGTGGGTGACATGAATGCAAATATCACTGATAAAAATTCTGTCTTTGCGAAGCATATGGTGCATTTTTGTGTTGATAATAATCTGACTTTGTCTAGTAGAGAGCTCTTGCCTAGTCAGAGCTATACATATATAAGTGAAGCCTGGCACTCTACATCGTGGCTGGACCACTGCATCTCTACAGCTGATGCACATGCTGCTTTGGTTGATGTAGACATTTTATATAATATGTCTATTTTTGACCATATTCCTGTAAAGCTCACTATTAGATTTGACTCTATACCTACTTTAGTCCAGACCTACCAAAATCATGATTGTCTGGACTGGTCTACTCTCTCTTCTGAGAACCTTGCCTGCTATTGTTCTCACACTAACAGGCTGTTATGTGATATTACTCTACCCAGAGAGGCAGTCATGTGTAAAGATTTTAATTGTACTGATGCTAGTCACAAGGCAGGTATCTCTTCCATGTATTCTAATATTATCCGGGTGCTGATTGAAGCTAGTATGCCTTATTATAAAAGTAGAGAGAAGCGTAATATTAGACCTGGTTGGAACACTTATGTGGCTGAATTTAAGGCTAGAGCCTGTGATGCAACGACAGTCTGGGCTCTTGCGGGTAAACCCAGATATGGGCCACTATTTGAGCATAAAAAGCATACAAGTGCAAAATACAAATATGCCATATGTTTTATTACAAAAAATGAACAAAAACTGAGGTCTGATTCTATGGCGAAGAAACTATTACGCAATGATGCGAGGTCGTTTTGGAAAGATGTTAAACATACTAATAATAGTAGAGTCTCTCTACCCTATACTATTGATAGAATTTCTAGCCCAGATAAGATAGTTGAGCTTTGGCGGTTCCATTATTGCAATTTATTTAACTGTGTTCCCAGTGAAGTCTTCCCTGTAAGCAGGGTTGATTTTGTTGAAACTGTTAAAACCTGTGAAGTTTCTCAAGCAATAAATAATTTGTCTGTAAATAAGTCTACTGGGCTGCATCATATTTCTGTAGAACACCTTAAGTATGCTAGTTTGAGGTTGGCTCCTCTTTTAGCTATATGTTTTATGACTTGTGTTATACATGGGTTTTTGCCTGACTCCTTGATGACAGTGCTTTTAGTCCCTGTGGTGAAGGATAAAGCAGGAAAGGTGGGCAGCGCTGATAATTACAGACCTATTGCACTTGCTAATACACTTTCTAAAGTTATTGAGGCAATTCTTTTGAGTAGGTTTTGTAATCTTATTGGCTCCACTGAGAACCAATTTGGGTTTAAATCCAATCATGGCACTGATATGTGTGTATTTGCACTAAAGGAATTGGTTAGTAAATATAAATGTAAGAATTCCACTGTATTTATGTGTTTTTAGATGCCTCTAAGGCCTTCGATCGGGTGAATCATAAGAAATTTTTTCAAAAATTGTGTGATGCCCATGTGCCTAAATATATAGCAAGATGTTTGTCTTATTGGTATGCCTGCCAGTCTATGCTTGTGAAATGGGATAATTGTATATCTGATCGTTTTCAGACCAGTAACGGGGTCAGGCAAGGTAGTTTGCTGTCCCCGATTTTATTTAACTTTTATATGAATGATCTTTCAAAAAAGTTAAGTATGTGTAGAACGGGTTGCATAGTTCGAGGTGTTGTAGTGAATCATTTAATGTATGCAGATGACCTTGTGGTATTTAGCCCTACTTCAGCAGGTCTTCAGCAGCTCTTGAATGTGTGTTCTGTATTTGGAGATCTTTATGATATTAAGTATAATGCTGTTAAAAATGTTATGATATGCCGCTCAAAGGAGGACAAGTCCCTTGTATTTCCTTTTTTTAAGCTATCTGGTAATATTTTAACTGTATGCAATGAAGTTAAGTATCTGGGTCATGTTATAAATGATTGTTTGACCGATGATAGGGATATGTACAGTATTGGCAGTGCCGTATGTTGTATGTGCAAGCAAATGTATTGGCACGAAAATTTGGTTCATGCTCAGATGGGGTAAAATTGACTATTTAGAGTGTATTGTTCCTCTTTGTACACTGCCCATCTATGGTCTAATAATAAAAAGACAGTCTTCGGAAATTGACTGTGGCTTATAATGATGCCTTGAGACTATTACTGAAAAGGCCTAAATGGGTGAGTGCCAGTGAATTGTTTGTGTCATTTCGAGTTAGTACTTTATCAGCTGTTTTAAGAAACCTGATGTATAAATTTATCTGTCGATTGAATAGCTCTGAAAACCACATTGTTTTATTGTTGACTAACGCTGCATATAGTGACATGATATACATCAGTACTCTGGAGACACTGGTATACTTGCCTCTTAAAGGGATAGTAGTGGACTGGTTGTTGTTTTGTAGTGTGTTTTTTTTTTATTATTGTTTTTATTGTTTGTTGGTTTTTGTTGTTCGGAGTCTGGACCTTGAGTCTGCAATAAAGTTTCAATCTATTGATGCCAGCCAGGTCCAACATGTTATAGAAGACAATGACTGGCCATCTGAGGGTGGTGGCTCTTGTGGAGTATTGTCTGATCATTTTATCCAGGACATGCACTCCCACCTTGGTCTTGTTATAATAGTGCACTGTGTCTGGCTGTCACTTTCCACGTCCACCGTCTGGTGCATTGTGCTGAGGATGCACACATTTTTGTTCATCTTGCCCTGGTATTTTTTGAACATTGCCTTATCACTCTTCATCACTTTGATGTCATGCAGTAGTGCTTTCTGATGCACAGAAGATGGGGGTGAATGCCTGTTTTTGTTCACAGTGCCTACCAGGCTGATGTTCCTTACTAGGTGTTTATGAACAAGGGGGAGCGATGTAAAAAAAAGTTGTCTGTAGTGATGTTTCTCCCCTTACCTAGGTAAGGCCACATCAGGTTCATCACTACACTATACTCATTTTGTATCTTGGTTGCCTAGCAATGCCTATTGTTAATTTTGGAAAGTGTGTGTGTGTGTGTGTAAGAATGGGGGAATGTGAGGCATTACTGTAAAGTGTTTTGAGCTGTGTATCTGACTGGATATATAATTTATATGGCTATACAAGTGCAGTCTAGTTACCATTTTTGCATTAGGAGTAATGGAGGTCAAAATGACCTCATGGTGGTTCTAGGTAAAACCACTCTTTTTTCTCTCTCTTTTATTCCAGAATCCCCCAAACGCATAAGATGTTGTGTAACACACTTTTAGGAAATGTCACTGACTGGGAGACGTAGGGTTTTTACTCAAAGTTACATGCATTTTAATAGTGAAGAGAGGTCAAAATGACCTCTTGGTGGTTCTAGTGTTAAAGCTGAACCTTTGACATATGCTACATCTGCCAACAGGGGGCATCACACTGTCTCATTAAATGCAATAGTGATGGAAAGCTGAGTAAGCTGGTTGTGGTTGAAAGATTTGGCCTCACTCAGCATTTCAGGATTAGAGATTGACCTGAATAGAAATGTGGCCACTGAAAGTTGTTTTCAGTTGGCACATATGCAAGGAAATACAAAGAGATTTTGCATGTTTGGAACCTTGAACAGTTTCACTGTTATCCACTATTATTTCTGTCTAGAAACTTGAAAAGTTTGTAGAAAATGAGCTGAGCAGTATTTTCTAAAATTAAATGGTAAAGATACACTGATTAAGTTTTTCTCCATCTGGGACTGGCCAGTAATTCAATATTGTTTTTCTGGCTTTATGTTGTTTTGACAGGATTTGGAAAGCTTCTTCCTCTCAAGAGGAAATACAGAAGTTCATATGCAGTTTAGCAGCACTTGTGCCACTTTTCTCTTACTAGAAAACTGTGGATTATTTCTAGTGCTGTGGATGCTGAAATGTCACCCAAATGTTTCTTTGGAGATAAACCAAAGTTTCATTTTGGAGTTTCTGCAGGGGACTACAAATATCCCAAGGGTGACAAAGATCACTTGACCAAGACTTCAAATCTTTAACACTAGCTACAGTACACTGTGGTCCCTTGACTATTGTATCTGATTTTGAGTTTACTAAGCAAACACTGCAGGTAGTGTGTGAATGAGTGGTTTCCAATGGAGTTTACAGTACTGAATTTCTGTAACAGATGATGGTGTTTAGAAGTTTTAATAAGAGAATGATACAGTATATTTTACATATGAGGACTGGGCATGTGTTAGCATTTTAGCCTGAACTGAATATCAGGTCTACTTATCAAATCCAAATCATTTTGAGTAACTTGCTGTATCAATATAACAGTTTAACGTTTGTCGGTAATTATTATTGCATTTAGATCACAGTTTGCCTCCTAAAATGTCAGAAAACAGAAAATTATTTAAAGTTTACAACCTGCACATGTAGCTGCAACCTGAAAAATAAGCAGATTTAAAATGTTTATTAAATGTTATTTGACAGCAAGTTATTTTTTACTTTAATTTGTACTATAGCTGATATACAGTAATACTCTGTTGCTTGTGGTGAATGCAACGGTCAGCATGTACTAAAAATAAGATGCAAGTATGTTTTCTAAAATGCCTTTTGTTAATAAAAAAAGAGCAATGACACAAAAATGTAAAGCTCTCTTGGCTTCATAGTTTAGTAAAATCTGGGTGAATTTTACAGGAACCTGGAAATGAAACTGTCTTATGTGGGCTGATTTTTGGTGGACAAATAGAGTTACTGTTTCTAATATAAAACTCAAACATACCTTTGTCATTTCTGCACCTCATTTCTTGTTATTCATAAGCCAGTGAATATGCTAATACAACTCTTTATGATAACAGCTGCATGCATAGAAAAGTGCTATACAAGTATAAGACCATTTACCATTCAGTGCACACACACACTGAATTCAAATCAATCTAACTAAAGCCACAGACATCAGCACTGAGCTCTCTTTCCC